ATATAAGATAAAGGGCTTGGACTTTAAACTTAAGGTTCAAGAGTCCAATAAAACACACCAGATATTCACAAGTCGCATGAAACAGAACATGTTTCTCAAAACACCCGATGTCTACTTTTCAACCATTAAGTGGCATGCTCTCTGAAACATCAGTATCATTTTTAACAATTTCCTTCTAGTACTTAAATATAAAAGAAATAAACAAATGTTGATGAAATGTTCAGAATAATTTTCAATTTATTTATACTTTGGTAATAGAAAAGAATTGGTTACTATTCTTTGTACTTTCTCAATCTTTTTTATGTGGTTCTAGAAGCTTTAATAGACAAAAGAGACCATGTAAGTCAAACTACTAGATTTTTATAGTGAAAGAAGATAAATCATTCAACTTAGGATAATTTTTTTTTCTTAACACTCTTAGGGATTTGACTTTTATATATGCAAATTTAATGGAAAAAATGCTATTATTGATAGCCAAAAAACAAAAAGCAAGAAAGAGACTCTATGATCAAAGATAAACTGGATTTTTGATATTATATAGACTGACCCTGGGTAATATAAGATTGAAAAAGCATATAAAGAATTGTTAAAAACCAACAATTTTTAGGATTTAGTACCTATGTTTGCCATGAGGTTTTTATAATGCATTATAAAAGTGTCTAAAGGTTTCGGATTTCTATAATTTCAATTCAACAAACTATTATAAGGACCTAAGATAAAATACAAAGCACTGTGCAAATTACTGAGGGATAAAATGATTACTTAAAGTAAATCTCTTCCTTTGAAGAACTTAGATATTTAATTTTTTGTTCAGATAGGAAATATATAAAATGATAATCCTCTAGAAATCATTTTAATTACTTGGAAGCATTTGAAATATATGTATAAGTATATTTACAAAATTCTTTGCAGTTGTTTTGAACACAAAAATCAGTCCTGCTTAAAGGTGAGAGCAAGTCTGTCTTCTCTTCGCTTATCCACTTTAAATAGCTAACATTTAATCTCTTTGGAATGGAATTTCTTAAATTTGGATTTATGAATGGGCTTCAAGGGGTCAATCTGTGAGACTCTGAAAATTAAAATGTGAAATACTAGGTGTAGTCTTGAGAACATTTTTCCGGGGAAGGGGTCCGTAGCTTTCAACAAATTTTCAAAAGGCTCCCGGAAACCAAAAAATAAAACGGGAAAGAGAATAGGTAGGGTTGAGCTCTCTGAGTTATAATTCGTCTTCATTGCAGGTAACAATTTTAAATTATTAGAACATGCTCTCTAAACATTATCTTCTCCAGAGCAGAATATGTCTGAAAGTTACTCAAGTCCTACATGCTCTTTCTAACTTATAAATAGAATTCTAATTAAACAATCTCTCTTACAAGCAGTTACAAAATATGGACACTAAGTGTTTATGTTCCTCCTTTGCCAAGTCTGACGCAACATGGAAGCGTCGATCACACCTTTAGGAGATAATAAATAATCTATAATACTGGCAACATTGTTACTATAATTCAGGACTCACTTTATTATCTTTAAAATACCAGTTGACACAGTATGAATGAGGTGTCACCTACCTCCATACACATCATCCATACAAATAATTTGGTCTCCTGCTTTTAAAAGATGGGTAATAGTCACAGTGGCTGCTAAACCCGAAGCAAAGGCCAAACCTAAAACAAAAATCAAGTTAGAGTAAACCAAAAAGTTAGACCTATAGGTTAAAAAAACATCTACAGTATTTACTTGCATTACTTTATACACCCTCTGTCTGCTGACAGAAGGATAGCCTTCACGGTTGATTCGCCAGAGATATTCTGATAAATACCATTACAGAATCTCCCTTTCTATTTCAAGAATAAAATATCTGTCCAGGCACGGTGGCTCATGTCTGTAATCCCAGCACTTTGGGAGGCAGAGGCAGGAGTATCACTTAAGGCTGGAAGTTTGAGACCAGCCTGAGTGATATCCTATTTCTACAAAAAATTCAAAAATTAACCAGGTTGTGGTGGTGTGCACCTGCAGCCCCAACTACTCCAGAGGTGAGGCAGGAACATCACTTGAGCCCAGGAGTTTGCGGTTGCAGTGAGCTATGAGGACACCATGTACTCTACTCCAGCTGGGCAACAGAGTGAGACCCAGTTTAAAAAAAAAAACTAAAATAAAATAAAATATCTTCAAGATAAAAAATATAGAATGTAGGCAGGGACTTTTGTGTTACGTCAATTCTGCCTTGGTTATAACATTCTGTGAAATACATGAAATAATTCTTTACAAAAATCTGAGATAAAAGGCCTATTGCCAATTAAATTACAGTTTTAAAATATCAAACTAAAAAATTTCAAACATAAGGAATAGACCAAAGATATGATTCTTTCATTAATTATATGGATACACAGTTCAGCAAGTATTTTAATAATAACAAAACTCAAAATCAGACCTGAGATCTGTCTGATAAATTTAATCATGATGGATATATAAGACTC